GAGAGTCTAAACAGCTGATAAAAACATCACAATAATCCACAAGTAATCCACAGCACTCCAGTCCATCAGTTAACATCTGGAGAAGACAAAAGCTGAAACTAATCCATCATTAAGGCATTTTTAACTTCAAACCATTATTTCCTGCTAAAATCTGAGTCCATAATCCATAATAATGCTTCCTCCAGTGAAAAAGTGTTCTGTTCTGAATCAGGAGAGAAATCTGCACAGATCAAGCAGCGTTTAAACAGCTCTGAACAAATATGTGGCTGGATTTTGATGTAAGAGACAACAGGAGATGCACTTTTTCACTGGAGGAAGCGTTATTATGGATTATGTCCATAATCCATAATAATGCTTCCTCCAGTGAAAAAGTGTTCTGGTCTGAATCAGGAGAGAAAGCTGCACAGATCAAGCACAATTTAAACCGCTCTAAACAACATATGTGACCCTGGAGCACAAAAGCAGTGTTAAGTCGCTGGGGTATATTTGTAGCAATAGCCAAAAATACATTGTATGGGTCAAAATTATAGATTTTTCTTTTATGCCAAAAATCATTAGGATATTAAGTAAAGATCATGTTCCATGAAGATATTTTGTAAATTTCCTACCGTAAATATATCAAAACTTAATTTTTAGATAGTAATAATGCATTGCTAAGAAGATAATTTAATAGAATAGTTGTATCTCGGCCAAATATTGTCCTATCCTAACGAACCACACGTAAATGGAAAGATTATTTATTCAGCTTTCAGATGATTTATAAATCTCAATGTCAAAAAATTGAACCTTATGGCTGGTTTTGTGGTCCCGGGTCATATATGTGGGTGATTTTGATGTGAGAGACAACAGGAGATGGACTTTTTCACTGAAGGAAATATTATTATGGAATATGGACTATTTTGGCCAGAAGTGAAGTTAAAACGTCTTAAAGCTGGATTAGTTTCAGCTTTTGACTCATCCTAATCTTGGACGGCCTGAAGGTGAGCACATTTTCAGCCAATTTTAAGTTTTTGGCTGAACTGTATTTGGATATACTGGTAGATTAGCATCTGAACAGGTTGTTTTTCCTCACTGCATTTAACTTTATTTGCACATTATTTTTTTCCTTTAATTATGATGAAATGTGTGCCATTTGAGGCATTATGCAATTATATGTAATTTTTTTTGGGCTGTTGTGCCCTTAGCATTTTAATCTGGTCTTTTGATTAGACTGTGTGTCTGTTGCATTACCAGCTGTGAATGTGAGCTTCAGCTGGTTTTATTCAACAAATCTATTTAACACATGCACTTCTGCTATTGTTTCATGTTTCAGTGTAATAAAGAAAGCATGAAAGATTTAGAAAGCGAGATTTAGATCAGTGAGATTTAAAGATTTCTTTTAAACGAAACTATACTTTGCAGATGTCCCACTGTCATCTGATCCTAAATGAAATCGTTGTTAAACTGATCAAATCTATTGCTAATCTATTTAATAAAGAACGATGCAAGAATGGGAAGAATTGGTTTCTCTAATAGAGACCTAAATTCTCTTACGCTGCATGTGGAAGAAAAAAAATCTTGTTTATATAATGAATACTGCTGCTTCAGGTAATTCTCTGTAGAGCAATATGACAATCTTATATTAATAAGATTATGTATTAAATATTATATTGGATATAAGTTGTTGTGGAAGTTTACAAAGCCAATGTATTGTTATACAGTCATTAGAATAAATAAATGCAAATACCTACCTTGTGAAAATGTACAATAGTTATTTTTCTTGAAAATAAAGTTATATTTATTCAAACAAGGACTTTGTCTTTTCTTTAATGTGTTGCATTGTAAACAAACAGCATATATTATTGTTATCACTGCTAAAAACATCCCAGTCTTTGATTAAATAATATAAAAACTATAGAAATATTATTGGAATACATTTGTAATAGAGTATATAAGTTATTGCAATTAAATGATTCATTTTTAAATTTTGTTTTCATATTAAGAGACTCTCTCCATCATCTAAAGTTGGTTGACTATTAAAATAGGAAGTCTTATTTAAAAAATTAAAGAAAGTACAAATATTTCTGAGTTACTAAAAGCTATTAGTGTATTTAAACTTAATATTGAATACCCTAATAATTACACACATATATATATATATATATATATATATATTATACTTTACTCTTTCTCAGTCTTTCATTAATTACACAAATGGCTGATGAAGAAGATGATTGCATGTCTGACGCTTTCCTGAACCAAATGTGAGTTTAATGTAATAACATCATGTCACTGTCAGAGTGAGTGGTGTTTGCTGTGCATTAGAGATAAATATGTGTATTTATGAGAAAACACATTTTACATGTTTTTAAATGAGTGGATGATGTACTTTAGGTACCTCAGATCATTCATTCTTACTGAATTAAACAAAACTGCTAAGAAATTTACCAAATATCTTCATGGAACATGATCTTTACTTAATATCCTAATGATTCTTGGCATAAAAGAAAAATTTATAATTTTGACCCATACAATGTATTTTTGGCTATTGCTACAAATATACCCCAGCGACTTCTGACTGGTTTTGTGCTGCAGGGTCACATATGTTGGTTTGTTGAATTGTTTTGATGCTCTTCACACATTATCAGCCCAGATGTTCGGCCTGGCATCCCGATGGTGAAGCGTGTGAAGGAAGCCATGAAAAAAGAGGCTCTTCAGAAAGAGAAAAACACACAGAACCGGCAGAAGAGCTTCAAAGAGCAGGAGCGAGAGAGTCGGGAGGCCGCGCTGCAGAGCTCCTTAAGCAGCCAAAATAAAGGCTTTGCGTTACTGCAGAAGATGGGATATAAAGCAGGACAAGGCCTGGGGAAAGAGGGTCAGTGATTGAGACTTTTAGATGGAATGTTTGTTTTGGAAAAAAAAAAAAATACAAAAAACATAATGTAGTTTTGTGTGCATTAAAAATGTTCTCATGCTGCAGGTGCTGGACGAGTTGAGCCGGTTCCTCTGAACATCAAAACAGGTTTGTTTGAGTTTTATTAGACATAACAAGTGACAACACATCTGCATTACGCTTCTTTGTGAAGGATAACACGATAAAGTAACAAGACTTATTTCCATTGTGGTCCTTGATATTAGAAGAAGAACATTTTCGTGACGACAGGCATTTTTGGCATACATTTCATACTAATTACAACTAGATAAAAAAGTTAGTCAAGACAAACTTTAGGTTGGCTTGAGAAAGCCTCGCCTGAAAGTTTAAAGCAGTTGTAAAAGCCTGAAGTTTGAACATTTAGATTAGGTAGATGTTGATAACATGTTGCTAGCATGATTAGCAAGTGACTAGCATGTTTCTAACATGATTAGCAAGTGACTAGCATGTCGCTAGCATGTTTCTAGCATGATTAGCATGTTGCTAGCCTGATTAGCATGTAACTAGCATGTAGCTAGCATGAATAGCAAGTTACTAGCATGTTTCTAGCATGAATAGCAAGTGAATAGCATGTCGCTAGCATGTTTCTAGCATGATTAGCATGTTGCTAGCCTGATTAGCACGTAACTAGCATGTAGCTAGCATGAATAGCAAGTTACTAGCATGTTTCTAGCCTGAATAGCAGTTACTAGCATGTTCCTAGCATGATTAACATGTTACTAGCATGTTGCAAGCATGGTTAGCAAAGTAACTAGCATGTTGCTAGCATGATTAGAAAGTTACTAGCATGTTTTTAGCATGATTAGCATGTTTCTAGCATGATTAACATGTTGCTAGCATGATTAGCATGCTACTAGCATGATGCTAGCATGATTAGCATGATTAGCATGTTACTAGCATGATTAGCATGCTACTAGCATGTTTGTGGCATGATTAGCATGTTTCTAGCATGATTAGCATGTTACTAGCATGATTAGCATGCTACTAGCATGTTTGTGGCATGATTAGCATGTTTCTAGCATGATTAGCATTTTACTAGCATGATGTTAGCATGATTAGCATGTTTCTAGCATGATTAGCATGTTACTAGCATGTTGCTAGCATGATTAGCATGCTAACAGCATGTTGTCGGTATGTTTCTAGCATGATTAGCATGTTACTAGCATGATGCTAGCATGATTAGCGTGCTACTAGCATGTTTCTAGCATGATTAGCATGTTACTAGCATGTTGCTAGCATGATTAGCATGCTAATAGCATGTTGTCGGTATGTTTCTAGCATGATTAGCATGTTACTAGCATGATGCTAGCATGATTAGCGTGCTACTAGCATGTTTCTAGCATGATTAGCATGTTACTAGCATGTTGCTAGCATGATTAGCATGCTAATAGCATGTTGTCGGTATGTTTCTAGAATGATTAGCATGTTGCTAGGATAGATAGATAGATAGATAGATAGATAGATAGATAGATAGATAGATAGATAGATAGATAGAGGAGTTTGAATGAGTTTAAATGGATTAGAAATAGTACATAGAAGGGAAGCTTAATGGAATCTAATTGGCTTCAGTGTATTTAAATTTTGACAGTTGGAGTTTGAATAGTCTTGGCTCATCTGAACATTCCGTCAATGTAAGTCTATGGGATTTTTATGATTTTTAATCTTAATTTTTTATGAAAACCATAAGTTGGATCAGTCTGAAAAGACAAAGCACACCAAGTCAGATCAGTCTGAAGAGCTGGGCTGAGTTTGGTGGTTCTGGCTTGAAAGCTCTAGGAGGAGTAGCGTTCAGACATTTAGTCTAAGAAGAAGAAGAATAAAAAGCTTAAGTAGCAGATCAGTAGGTTGGCTTTCTCAATTTAAGACAGCCCGTCTAAAAACATTCTTTTCACTCTTGTACTAAACCCTTCATGAACCATTATAGCCTTAATGTCCAAAGGCAACTTATTCCACTCCTGTGCACCAGAATACGCAAATGCCCTTTGTCCATACATAAATTAAGCTCCATAATGCTCTGTCTAGTAAAATGACCATGTCTTAATTTAACCTGCGAAAGATAAGAATTAAAATACACATCAAATCTAATGAAGAAATCTAAATTTGTTGATTTTTTTTTCACTCATATCTTGATTATAATCGATTTTCTTTTTTAAAAATGACATTTTATTTAAAAAACAAACAAAAAACGAGTAGCACTTGAATTCTTGTGATCTAACAAAGGAAAAGGGCAAATATTAACCATATATGCTGTTTATATTGATTGCAGTTGGGATGAAGTAAACATCTGCCGAGTATTTTAGCATAAAATTGTTTGATTGTGTTGAATTAAAATCCCAAAAACTAAGCATTTAAATATCATTTTACTAAGACGTTATTGGAGATATAGAGCGATGAATGATATTTATATCATTTTATGTAAGCATCTGCTGTACTGTTATTAAGATCTCATTGATTTACATTACAAGCATCAGAATATCATCACTTTTTGTCCACATAAATATCAGCATATGCACCAAATTGCATATTTTTGCTCAGTTTGAGCCTCTGAATAAAACGGATGGGTAAAAATGATCAATTTTTCTTTTATGCCAAAAATCATTAGGATATTAAGTAGAGATCATGTGCCATGAAGATATTTAGTACATTTCCTTCCGTAAATATATCAAAACTTAATTTTTGATTAGTAATATGCATTGCTAAGAACTTAATTTGGACAACTTTAAAGATGATTTTCTCCATATTTAGATTTTGCTGCTCCCTCAGATTCCAGATTTTCAAATATTGTCCGATCCTAACAAACCATACATCAATGGAAAGCTTATTTATTCAGCTTTCAGATGATGTATAAATCTCAATTTTGAAAAGTTTATTTACCCTTATGACTGGTTTTGTGCTCCAGGGTTAGTAATATGCATTGCTAAGAACTTAATTTGGACAACTTTAAGGATGATTTTCTCCATATTTAGATTTTGTTGCACCCTCAGATTCCAGATTTTCAAATATTGTCCTATCCTAACAAACCATACATCAATGGAAAGCTTATTTATTCAGCTTTCAGATGATGTATAAATCTCAATTTTGAAAAGTTTATTTACCCTTATGACTGGTTTTGTGCTCCAGGGTCACATATATACGCTATAAATGCCTGATGCGAACTTAAAACACAAATGCAACTTAAAAAAAACAAACAGATTTTTCTGACTGCTGTTTCATAAGTCAGGCTTTACGCTTCTCTGTTTCTGGATGTGGTGTTGAGTAACATGTTTATTACAGAGTGCGCAAGAGAACCGAAAGAGAAGAGCGCCAAACAGTGCGAACTTAAAACACAAATGCAACTTAAAAAAACCAAACAAACAGATTTTTCTAACTGCTGTTTCATAAGTCAGGCTTTACGCTTCTCTGTTTCTGGATGTGGTGTTGAGTAACATGTTTATTACAGAGTGCGCAAGAGAACCGAAAGAGAAGAGCGCCAAACAGGGCGACCTGAGGAACAGCCAGCGGGCCTGTGAGCAGCTCGACAGCCAGAAGGTCAGCAAGACTTTTTTTCCCTTTTATCTCTATTTTGACGATCTTTCATATCAGCAGAAATCTCTGAACCTCGTCTGCTGTTGTGATTCTTCTTTTAGGGCATCAGTGTTCCCAGAGACAGCTGGTACTGGCCTGAAGTTGTGAAAGATGAAGATGAAGAGCTTCTGGAGGAGGAAGCCAAACCAGAGGGAAGTGACGAGGAGGAGGAGCTCACAGTGAGTTTATGACACTTTCATTGCTAACAAGCTGCTTCGGAGGAGAGACGTTTGTTTTATTATTTGTCTTGCAATAACTTTGTTCACAGGCTTGAATGTTTGAGCTTGACGAATGCAATCAACACTACAATTTTTGTAAAAATGCTGTAATTTTTACTACAATAAATCATTACACATCCTTTTAGAATTCATTTTTAATTTGTATTATTTATATATATATATTATGTAATATATAGATTTTTAAGGTTTTTTAAAGAAGTCTCTTCTGCTCACCAAGACTGCATTTATTTGATCCAAAATACAGCAAAAACAGTAATATTGTGAAATATTTTTGCTGTTTAACGTAACTGTTTTCTATTTGAATATACTTTAAATGTAATTTATTCCTGTGATTTTAATGCTGAATTTTTGCATCATTACTCCTGTAACATGATCCCTCAGAAATCATTCTTACATTCTGATTAGCTGCTCAAAAAACATTTATTATTATGATTATATTATTATTATTATTATTATGTTGAAAACAACAGAGTAGAATATTTTCAGGTTTCTTTGATGAATAGAAAGTTCAGAAGAACAGCATTTATCTGAAATAACATTATCTTTTGTAACATTATAAATGTCTTTATCATCACTTTTGATCAATTTAAAGCATCCTTGTTAAATAAAAGTAT